CGGTTCGCGGCGGTCCCTGCGATCCAGTTGGTCGCCGAACCCGGAAGTAAGTAACTTCCGGGAACGGCGAAGGGCCCACCCGTCCGCCCGCGCCCCTTACTCAGTTTTGATGAGTTCTGCGCTTCCACGCATGCGCAGGACGCATACAGCACCTGCGCGATCCTCCAGGAGCAGCTGGAGCATCGCACAGACGCTAGTATGCATGCGTGCGCCGCGCGCGTGCATGAGGATGCCGCCGGCCCCGTTCCAACCGAACCAGTTGGAACGGGGCGAGAAACCCACCCCTGGTGTGGCAGGCCTTTACTACCTACTCGGCCGAACTGGTCCGAACCGGTAGGAACCCACTTCTGGAGCACAGTGACCGATCCCATGACCACAGGAACAATGACAGCCATACATATAATGTATGGTTGTAACTACCTCTTCTTCAACACTATAAGTTTGAAACGTCGTTGAATGAGTAGTTATTTAAATGAGGACCATCTGTAGTGTAAAATGACCCACTCACTTTAAAAAGTGAAAAATGAAATAACCTGCATGTATAACATTTACACAGAGAATAACTCGGTGAAGAGAGATATTTTGAATAAGTTTCTAAAAAGTATATGATAAACACATTTATGAATCTTAGAAACAAGAGCATTTCAGAACAAAGTGCTATGAAGTTCTTTGCATTCTTTCGAATTTAATACAGTGAAAAAATAATTCACTAGGACTTGTTTGCTATATTTAAAGTTATTCTTGGTTTGCTAGATTGGTTCCTAACTGGTCAATCATTGGAGAATTTGAATACATTTTTAATGAGCAGTCAGGCAAGCTATTTCTGTAGTATTTAATGTGCTACAAATATATATTGGATGCTACCTTAGACATTACAGCTGAGGGACTTCTGTTTTCTCCTTTGAGTCTGGATTGCAACTGCCATTGTGTATCCCCAGGAACACAAGGCACTCTCTAACTACCTATGAACGATCTTAAGCTGCATTTAAAGTTTCCTTCTTATGCCTATCTCAGTAAGACTGGAAATTAACTCGATCTGCCTTTTTAAAGTTTCTCACGTGAAAGCATTTCTTCCCTCACTTCATTTTTTCTATTCTGAAAAAGAGTGGATTAAATGAAGATTCCTAAATAACTATTCCAGACTTCTGCAAATTATTTGAAAATGCGAAACAAGAAAGAAAAATACAAGTGTAGGATTTTTATGGGCTTGGTTCATGGATCTCCAAAATTCTGGACACAAACACCTCTCTGTGGGAAGTAATAAGTCCATCCAGTATCTGCAGAACTAATAGGATTAATATCCTGGGTCAGGGAAGAGATTAATAAAAACCCCAAGGGGTACATTTTAATTCATACATCTCAGCAGGATACATAGGCACTGAATATTAATTATTGTTACTGTTATTATTGAATTTCCAGAGTTTTCAACTATAACTTCTCAAAGGCTCTAAGGTGTTCTTTAATATTCTCCAGTTTCAGTCTTTCTTTAAGAGGGTGCCTTGGAGATGTGTTAGGGCTATGCTAACTGAAATTCGAAGCTAATATATAGGTTGTTAATTCATCATCTTGGTTGTATTTTTCTGCATCTTTCCCTATTACCTTAGAGATGTGGTAATATACCACATATAGCTGCAGTATATTATATAAAGTTGCTTGTATTTATATGTATTTGTCTATAACAAGGGTGTGAAACTCAAGGCCCGCGGGCTGGAACTGGCCCATGGGGTGTTTAGATCTGGGCCTTCGGGCCACCCTGGAAGGAGCGAAGGACCGGCCCATGGTGCCTCTGCCAGTGAAAATGGAGCTCGAGAGGGGGTACCGTTTTCACTGGCAGAGTGCTCGGGCTACCACAGGTGCCCCCGACACAAATAATGTCAAGCTGGCCACACCCACCCTGGCCACTCCATCCGCCCCCTCCCGCGAGGTCAAACCCAACCCTGATGTGGCCCTCAATGAAATTGAGTTTGTCACCCCTGGTCTATAAGAGGCAGTTTGGTCTAGTGGTTAAGGCACAGGTTAGAAACTGAGAGATTGTAAGTTCTGGTCCACCTTAGGTATGAAAACCAGCACCCACATGCCCATCACATGGTCCAAAAAGACACCGTCCCAACTGGAGATGCCTCCCAGTCACGCCACTCGAGGTGCAGGTCAAGGTGTCCTTGACTCTCTGAGAAAGGAATGTTATTTAGACTATATATCTCCCATACTCCATATTATCCCCCTCCCATTTTCCCACAGTAGAAAATGTGGCAGGCCTGAAGGCCGCAATGTAAAAGATGGCTTCCAGGTCTGACAGCTTGCTTCAAGTGATACCTGTATTAAAGCATATGCAAATATTGCAGGTCTTGTTTTGTATTTACTGCACTTTATTAGTTAGACTTATTTATCTGTTAGATTTATATCCCACCTTCTCTCCAATAGCTCATGACAACTTTTTCCTCAGACCTTCAGAGCAGAACTCAGCTGAGATCTCTAACCTGCAACTTGGCACATCTTAAGTTGGCTTGTGGCCTTTAACTCAGAACTTTCTTTTCCAGGTGTACAGCATGGTCTAACTCCATAATGGCGAACCTGTGGCATGCGTGGCACGCCAGCTGTCAGCTCTGGCGGGCATGCGCGTGCCAGCCAGCTGATCTTTTGCCCTTCCAGAGGGCCAGGGAAGGCTGTTTTTGCCCTCCCCAGGCTTCAGGAAAGCCTCCGGAGCCTGGAGAGGGGTCGCATATGCATGCATGGGAGGGTCGCACGCGCATGAACAGATGGCCAGGGAGATTGAGTGGACATGCGCATGCCTGCAATTTTGGCACGCCGTAAGAAAAAGGTTTGCCATCGCTGGCCTAGCTAAATAAGCATCTTTATTGCAAATTAGAATGAGGCCAATTGAATCATGGATTGCCTTCTATTCGAAGGGGAACGAAGTTCGCTTTTAAACAGGAGGTTTAAATCCATTACGGATTCAAAATGCAAAAGTGATGCTTCCCAAACCAGTCTCTGAAATCTGCTTTTTAGAAGGAATAGTCTGTAGAAAAGTAGGATAGGAAGCAAAATGTTTATCTAGAAACACTCTGTTTTTAATGTCTCTCTGTTTGTTTTGCAGTATCCTTGGTGTTATTGTTGAGGCTATGCATTTCTGTGCTAGGTTTCGATTCAAGTTGAGTCAGTGACTTCCAGCCACTTCTGAAAGACTGGAATAATTTTTATGTGCAAACCTTGAGGGTCCAGTTCATTTCTGCTGTGAATTTAAATGAGTTAATTTAAGTGGTTGGGTCAGAAGCCACTATCATTGTAGTAGCCCTGTGCCTGATTCTTAATTAAAGGCAACAGGAGATTAATTTGAAACATTAATTTAAAAGTGCCTATACAAAAGGAAAGAATTATTGCAATAAAGCCTAAAGAACTTTTTTGTCCCTAGATGTAGAAGACAGAACTAGCTCAGGGTCCTGGGGGAATGGAGGACATCCTAGCCCATCCAGGGTAAGTACATCTAATCTTTTTTTATTCCTCACCAGCCTTCCTCCGTATGCAAATTTAACATCTAAATGGGAATTGTGCACCTGATTGCCTAGGAAAATGTACTTGTAAGTTTGGCTGTAGAGCAACCTCTCCTCAGTCCCCCCCCCCAAAAAAAGATTTTTATCTGATCTCAAAGATAATTTGACATTTGCTGTGTTCTTGGTTGCAAGTAGAAAGAACCCTCATTAAATGCTTTTTCTCATGTGCTGTCGTTCTCTGATACGTGGTTATCTCTATTTTGTAATGAATTCCTCCCCTACCCTTTTATTTGGCTGTTGATTTCTCACTTGTTGTAGGTGTCTTCCCAGATGTTTAATTCCAGGACAAAATATTAAATATGAAGGTGGGACTTTTCAGATGCTAGGAGTTTTAACTCTCTAATTTAGCCTACCTTTGGCAGTATGGCTGTCAGCATGTACTTTATATATCCGTGATGGTGAAACACGGATGCCAGATGTGGCATACAGAGCCCTCTCTGTGGGCACATGTGCCATCACCACCTGGTCTTCAGGTTTCTGGGTTTCTGGAGCTCTGGCACATGTGAAGAGCAACTGGCCAGCGTGCATGTGCGTGCCAGAAACCCAAAGACCATGTGGCTGCTGTGCGCATGTGCACCAGCCATCTGGTCTTTGGGTCTCTGCTGTGCACATGCGCAAACTTTCGGCACCAAGTGCCCAAAAGGTTCATCATTACTTGCATGTATCTTTCAAATTAGTTATTGAACAAGAAAAGAAAATTAAGATATAACATTATATAATACCAAGAAATCAGTACTTCAGAGGTATATACAAACTATTTTATCTAATGTGTATCTAATGTGTGAACATTTGTTCTTATAAAAGCCGAGACGGCACAATGGTTAGAATGCAGTACTACAGGCTAATTCTGCTGTCTGCCTGCAGTTTGGCAGTTCAGATCTCACCAGGCTCTAGGTGGACGCAGCCTTCCATCCTTCCGAGGTTGGTAAAATGAGGACCCAGATTGTTGGGGGCAATAGGCTGACTCTGTAAACCGCTTAGAGAGGGCTGTGAATAAGTCTTAAGTGCTATTATATGCCCAAAGTTCAGGAAATCTTGTATGAATAGTAACTGTTCATTCCACTTTTTTAGTTTATTCCAATGCAACTGAATCATCTGAAAGTTTTTGCTAAAACTTGTTATCATTATTTATTAATTTTATTTGTCCTCATCTTGCCACTGGTGATTCTGGTCTGCCTACAACATTAAAGTTATACAATTGAACACATTTGCAAATCTGGTCAATTCTTTATCTTTTGGAATAATTTTAATCACAATTTTATGCCAAATTTAATTATCAGTGTAAACCAACTTAACTATTTGCGTTGGTTTGTGCATGGCACAAATGCACAGGTCCTTTAATGTGACTATTTATTAAATTTAAACTTTTACCTTTCTGCTATGTGAATCACTCAAAGATAGAAAGCAAAATATAGAGCACAGCAGTAGCAATAGCACTTAGATTTATATACCGCTTCACAGCCTTCTCCAAGTGGTTTACAAAGTCAGCATATTGCTCCTAACCATCTGGGTTCCCAGTTTATCCATCTCGGAAGGAGGGAAGGCTGAGTCAACCTTGAGCCTGGTTAGATTCGAACTGCCAAATTGCAGACAGCCAACAGTCAGCAGAATAGCCTGCAGTACTGCCCTCTATCCACTGCACCACCGCGGCTCAATAAATTCAATGTATAATTCTGTATCCTTAAATTTAGTTAACAGTTTATAAATATAATCTATTTAGTTAGGTATGTCTCTACCCTTTGACAAGGGTTTACTTAACTAAACTTTGTTGAGGCTATAAACCAGGGTAGGCAATTATGACCTCTTTATGACCTGTGGACTTCAATTCCCAGAATTCATAGCTGGCTCAGGAATTCTGGGAGTTGAAGTCCATAGCTTGTAAAGGGTCCATATTTGCCCATTCCTGCTATATGTAACTACTATTATGAAAATGTGCTTTTTCATGGAGGCAATAGTGTTACATTTTGGCACATGTACGCAGACTGCTAATCTAAAACACCTGAAGCTTTGTCTTTCTTTTAAGGGTGCTCTCAACTTCCTTGCTCTATCTTAATTTAGTCCTTACTGTAGGTAACTGATTGCACTGCCCTAACTTTAATCTAAGGTGTGGCATTTTCTTTTACAAAAAGACTTTTTCTATATTTTTTGGATACGCTCATTCAAGGTTATGTTTTGCCAAGAAATGATCTCTGAATCTTTAAAACTGATGACATTTAAAGTGCTGGAGTGTCTTTTGACAGTTTTCTAACCTTGTGTAAATATACATAAGGTGCCTTCTAGTTTACCAACAGTAAGCCAGGCCTCCCAACAGCTTGACATTCAAAATGCCTTATGCCAATGATCCGAAACTTATCTCTTCTCATGTTACAAAAATCACATGTTCATTCCCACTAAGAATGTTCAGTAGACTCAGGAAGTGGAACATATTAATATCAAAGTTCTTTTGACAGTGTCAAACTGGAATTCTTCAAGGACCAGATCAGCATTGAAGTTCTTCTCTGCAGGCCAGCCGGAGGGGAGATGGGACGGACTCCCTGCTAGCCAAAACAGCACCCTGTCAGCCGCACATGCCCCTCCCCCCTCGCCCCATTTTTTCTGCCAGAGGCACCATGGGCCGGTACTTTGCTATTTCCAGGCCAGCCCCACAGGCTAGATTTAAGCGTGACCCGTCAAAAGCGCGTTCCACAAAAGCGCGGTCGACGAAATCGCGTATGTGACGTCATCACAACGCAAC